GGGGAAAAACGGCCGGTAAGTAAGTCCCGGTGGCTAACACCCGCTGCTGACACCCGCGGGACAGGTAGGGCGGGCGCATGCCTCGCACGTGCCCCCTACCTGTTTTGCAAAACTACGTTTTAAAACGTGGTTTTGCCTAGCCGTGCCACCCTGCAACCGTTTTAATGCGATGGCTGGGCGGCAAGTGGTTAAATACACACAGATACTATTAGATATATTATTTTTCATACTAATTCTATTTTGGTTCACCGCTGCTGACTCCCTTGACATCCTATACCAGAGATCTTTGAACCAGCTATGCCCTTCTATAGAAAAAGTTCTAACTAAGACATTTTTCTGTCTCAGCTATAACTGAAGAATTCAACACTATCACTTGTTCAAGACCAACCACACATTTTAATATTAATTATGATTAATCATAAAAAACAAATATTTTGCAAGCTTTCCATAAATATAATATAATACCTAGGAGTGCTGAATTATGAATTTGGAATTAATGTTTAACATTCATCTATGATGCACCAAGATTTTAAGGAAATAAGTCCAAGTGTGGATGTAGAAAATGAATCTTCAGTGACATGTTACATTTCATGGTCTTGTATGCTGTAAGAAGTTTAATAGTTAAGTAGTTTGGTGCTCTGTAGTTGCCAAGAAAATGTGATTGATGATGTATCTGATCTGTGGACCAACAAAAATGCCCTCCTTAATCTTGGCATTGATTATTCTTGGAAGCATCAGTCTCAAATAATGAAAATCTTCACCATCCTTGTTCATCAATTTCACAAAAGGTTTCATCAATCCAAGTTTTATGTGAAGCCCAAGCAAAAATATCTTTGTGGGGTCAACAAGTGGTTGTGCCTCATTTTTCTGTCTATAAACCAAACTCTTTTGGAGTGTGCTGTGCTTTGTGAATGGTCCTGCAGCCTCTTGGGACATGTGGCATGTCCCACGAGGCTGCAAGAGGAGAGGAGAGGGGTGGGGCAAGGGACATCATCACTGCCTAGGTGAGGATTATGGAAATGGGTATGGGCTGGGGGGAGGGTGCCAACCAGAAGGGCTTCACATTTTGGGTGAAGTTCTACTTTAGTTCATGATGTCCAACGTTGTCACAGCTATGCCGACTCACCGAAAAAAAAGATGCCTGCCGTCCCATCCACACCCGCCAAGGACTCGCCACACACGCGCCGCAATCTGACATTTGCGGGTCCGATGTAAACAATTGCGGGTCCGATATAAACAATTGGGCAGAGATAGCGGTGACATCACCACTAGCTCCGCCCAATTACTTACGTCTGACTGGCAACTGGCAAAACAAGTACCCCTTATTCATTGGGTGGGCAGCATCAGGATACCCCCTTATTTAGAGAGGGAACCCTGATGTTAATCAGCCCCTCTGCCAGCAGACCCCCACAACCACTGGGCAAGGGTTGTGGGGAAGAGACCCTTTTCCCCATTGGCATGGGGACGGCGTCCCCATGCCAAGGGCACATGGCCTGGTAAGCCACAGGGAAGGAGGGCTGCTCAGTTAGCCCCCCCCCTTTCTTTTTTTCCCCCATTTTTGGGAGGTGGTGTTCCCCTAAAAGTCCTACCAGGCCTTAAAAACAAATCTTTTACTGTGGGGTCCCTCCTAACCTTCTTACCAGACATTAAGGGCCTGGTATGGACTGGGGGGCGGGGAACCCATGCTACTTTTTTTTGTTTTTTTAAGTATTTATTTCCGGGGACAGTATTGCCCCCTCTGTCTTATATAGTGTGGTGTGGGGACTGTACAATGTGAGAGTGCAGTGCATTAAGGGGTGTTTGGCGGGTGAACAGTTGATGGTGCCTTCACACCGTAACCCTTCAAAGTTATTCTTGATGAGTGCAGGAATTGGCACTGCTCTAAAAAAACTGAAATTATATGCACCTCTCAAACAGGTGCAGAAAAATTGGGCTTTGGTGTTGGTGGTGCCTGAACATTGTAACCCCTCAGTTTCTCTTGCTGGGCGTAATAATGGGCCCTGCTGTTAAAAATTGGTCTATAGCTGCCATAATTGGCACTAATTGGGCTACATAGCACCAGCCCTGGACATTACTCGGTATCCTAGGGTAACAGATCTTACCACAACAGATATAGGTATTGTTTCCCAAGTAGACTGGCAATTTTTGTATTGCAGAATGAAATTCAGGGGTGACAACAATTGTGAGGTGCCAAAGAAGTTTTCCAAACATAGTTTTCCCCACATTGTCTTGTATCTCCTCTTAACTTTCATTCAGGGCTCTATCATTTACATGCCAGAGTTTCACAGAAGAAGTTCCATCCCTCCTTCCACCTATCTATTGGTGTCTAAAACACCAATCGGGGAGTTGAGTGACTCCCAAAGTTGGAATAGATATGGTGGCATTAGAAATAATATTGGTTAAACCAATACTTACATTCCCTTTTATTACCAAAAATATCTTGACTGGGACGGCCAAAAGAGGAATTTTATATGTGCTAGGATATAACTTACTACATATCCAACATTTATCATAACCTGACTGTTGAGCATAAGCATATTTAAACTGCATTATCAACATTTTCCTGTGAAAGGATTGTTCTCTTCAAAACCTCTTTTTGACTTTCTTTCACCTCCGGTTATCTGGGTCTCATTTTAATCTAGTCCTTGACCACAGTTACCTTTTTTTAGGCCCAAGTCCTCAGGGTGATAAATACAGTTAGTTATTATCCATACTGGCAGGAAAAAGAGCACAGTCAGTGTGCCCAATAGGACCCAGATCTTTAAAGCACCATGAGGGGCAGTAAGGAATATCATCTTCAGGGTCTTTTTCACCAATTTCACCCACTCTTTGAGGATTTTCCTCTCTTACTTCACCTCCTTTTCCGTCTCGTGTTTCTCAGGTGTTTGGTCCACCTTCTTCACTCGGCTAGCATGAATCCAGGACTGGGAATTTGCCGCCAGAACAGCTGTTCTGGTAACCGCTATCACCGTAATGGGTGGTCCAAAGGGGTAGCCTTGCTTCTTGTCTTTAGCGAGTTGGCGGACCACTACAACATCTCCCACTTGGAAAGCGTGTGTTGGTTCCTGAGAAAATAAAGGAGAGGTGCGAGCAACATTTCTTTCAACCTGATCTAAAGTTTGAATCAATTTTCTCACATATTCTTGTTGTACCAGGTCAAGGTCCCCTCTTTCTAACATAAGTGGCTGTCTAGCCCAAGGAGTGGGGAAAGGTCTTCCCATTAATATTTCAAAAGGAGATAACCCTGTAATCTTATTAGGTGTCATTCTTACCTCTGCTAGAATTGCAGGTAGCATCTTCTTCCAGTGGGCATAGGTTCCTCCAGTGGCCTTCTTCAGCTTATCCTTAATTGTCCTATTTTTGGCATGTGGGTAAAATCTATTTGTAAATGGGTGAAGGGTGTACAGTCAGGTCCATAAATATTGTGACATCGACTCAATTCTAACATTTTTGGCTCTATACACCACCACAATGGATTTGAAATGAAATGAAGATGTGCTTTAACTGCAGACTGTCAGCTTTAATTTGAGGGTATTTACATCCAAATCAGTTGAACGGTGTAGGAATTACAACAGTTTACATATGTGCCTCCCACTTGTTAAGGGACCAAAAGTAATAGGACAATTGGCTTCTCAGCTGTTCCATGGCCAGGTGTGTGTTATTCCCTCATTATCTCAATTACAATGAGCAGATAAAAGGTCCAGAGTTCATTTCAAGTGTGCTATTTGCATTTGAAATCTATTGCTGTCAACTCTCAAGATGAGATCCAAAGAGCTGTCACTATCAGTGAAGCAAGCCATCATTAGGCTTAAAAAACAAAACAAACCCATCAGAGAGATAGCAAAAACATTAGGCGTGGCCAAAACAACTGTTTGGAACATTCTTAAAAAGAAGGAATGCACCGGTGAGCTCAGCAACACCAAAAGACCCAGAAAACCACAGAAAACAACCACAAGATATAAACCATTGGTGAGCCTCAAAAACAGGAAGGCCAGATTAGAGTTTGCCAAACGACATCTAAAAAAGCCTTCACAGTTCTGGAACAACATCCTATGGACAGATGAGACCAAGATCAACTTGTACCAGAGTGATGGGAAGAGAAGAGTATGGAGAAGGAAAGGAACTGCTCGTGATCCTAAGCATACCACCTCATCAGTGAAGCATGGTGGTGGTAGTGTCATGGTGTGGGCATGTATGGCTGCCAGTGGAACTGGTTCTCTTGTATTTATTGATGATGTGACTGCTGACAAAAGCAGCAGGATGAATTCTGAAGTGTTTCGGGCAATATTATCGGCTCATATTCAGCCAAATGCTTCAGAACTCATTGGATGCCGCTTCACAGTGCAGACGGACAATGACCCAAAGCATACTTTTTTAGAGCGCAAAACATAAAAAACGCACAGGAGATCAAATACCACTAAAACAAAGCTGAATTCATGGGGAAAAAGGATGTAAATTTCATTTTGGTGCAGCGTTGCATGACCGCGCAATTGTCAGTTAAAGTGATGCAGCACCACAACACAAACCGCTTATGTAACCACTTCCTAACCGCCCTATAGCATAAATACTGCTACAGGGCAGCACGGGTGCGCAAAATCACATATATATATATATATAAGTGATTTATGCTCCTGTGGTTTTCACGCCCCTCCCAGATAGTGTTAGATTACCCTCTAGTACACCAGTAATCACATTTAACCCCTTAATTGCCAGGAAGACGCTCATACACAATAAACCTCCATTGCTAGTATAGTGTCTGAACGTATCAATATCTTTGATCAGATCAGCACTATACCAGCGTTCACATTAGTATAGCGTCCCCAAAAATGCAGCATTAGCGGGATCAGCCCCGGCACCTGCGTTTTGCCCCTACACTTACCCCCCCCTTCTCTCCCAGCAAGTGCAGTGTCAGTAGGTCACTGTCACTTGATACATTGCACACAAAACCGCAGTGTTCGCAGAATCAGGCCTGATCTCTGTTAGCACTTGCTGGTAAATTTTGATGACTCTCATATGCAGCAGGGTGCCAGTACTAGTGCCGCACTACCTTTTGGTGAGCTGGCGAGTACTAGTGGCCTAGTACATCCTGGGTCTTTCATATACCTCTTAGATTGTAAGCTCCAAGGGGCAGGGCTGAGCAAACTGTTGGCACTGTATAAATCCTGTATAATAATAATAATACCAGCACTGCAGTATGACTTGGCGACGTGGCAAGTCCCATAAGTGCAGTACAAGCTGGTGCGGTGGCGAACACAAGTATTGTCCCTCAGCCACGAAAAATTCACACACACAGGCCCATAAAGCCCCTAGTATCCTTCCGGATGTACTTGCAAATCCATATTGGCAGCCCATAAATTCTGCAGCACCCGTACTTCCCCCATTCACTGCCCAAACCGGAATTCAGGTGGAAATAGCAGATTTAACTACTCCCCTTGATTTTTTGGAGCTGTTTTTCATGGAAGATCTGTATGCATTGATTGTGGATCAAAGCAATTTATATGCACAACAATTTATCGCCGCCAACCCAAATTCAAACCTTGCCAGACCATTCACATGGAAACTCATTATAGTTTCTGAATTTACATTTTTTTGGGACCCAACCCTCAACATGGGCATTACTAAAAAAATTGAATTGCAGTTGTATTGGTCCACAGGCCCGATTCATCATATGCCCATGTTCTCTGCTGCCATGGCCAGGCATAGATATGAGAATATAATGTATTTTATGCATTACAAAGACAATACACTCTGTCGTCCTCGGGGTGACCCTGAATTTGACCGGCTCTCACAAATCACCTTAACCAAAAATTTGCAGATGTCTATACTCCCCAGCAAAAAAAATCTGCTTTAATGAGTCCCTCATTAATTTTTCTGTCCGCCTTGCATTCAGACTATTTCTCCCCAGCAAGTGTGCCAGATATGGGGTCAAGATGTAGAAGACCTGTGAGAGGGCAACAGGCTATACTTATAAGTCTCGAATTTAGGAGGGAAAAGATAGTAACGTGGAACCCCCGGATGCCCAGACTACATGGGGAGCAGTGGCAAGGTAGTTTGGGACTTTTTCCATATGGGGTACCATTTATACGTGGACAATTTTTATTCAAGCGTGCCACTATTTAGACATTTGTACAATCTTGGAACTTGCGCATATGGCAAAGTGTGACCTAATGTGTGCCCACCACTAGAAGTGGGTGGATGCAGGGCGGTATATTCTAATGGTGGGCATACCACACACTTTTTTCTGGCAGAGATTTCTTCTCTTTTTTTTCATTCAGTCCACAGGCTGCATACAAAAGAACATAGCATATACAGTAATACCTCGGTTTACGAATGCTTCTGTTAATGTAATTTTTGGTTTACGAATGAAAATCCAGTGAAAATAATGCCTCGTGTGACGATCGCAGCGTCAGAACCCAGCCCTTCTCCCCAAACTTGTGACCGAAGGACTAGCCAATCTAAAACCACGCTGTCACGTGCGTAACAATGCCACGCCCCGCTGCACCCTGCACAAAGATTTTCCAGCTAATGGACCAAAATCTGTGTACTTGCAGCCTGAGACCGATTGTTACTGGGTCAGGTTAATTACGCAATTAACCCTTCACATTGCCACCACCACCTTTTTGTACAGAGAAAGAGGAAACTCGGCAATATCAGCAATGACACAATGAATAATCATCTGTATACCACTGTCACCGCAGGCAGGGATATATAGAGGTTTAAACACACAGTAGCGCTCTTCAGAGACAGGGGTTCTTAGTTTGCATTAAAGAGCTTTAGAAACAGTTCAACACTTTCAGAAAGTAAGATTTATTACTAAAAAGTCAAAAGGGTGCAATAAAAATATTTACAGAAAAAGATGTAGCCTATATATATATATATATATATATATATATATATATATATATATATATATATATATACACACACACAGAGCAATAACACAGCAAAGAGATAACAGAATGAAATTTAGGGAGGTAAAGTACTTGCCAAATGTCCTGGTTTAAGCAGCTTTCAAGTTTTCTGAGCAAAAGGGCCTTATCTCCCAAAATTATTTCTGATGTTAAAAGGGAGCTTCTTTAACTTCAACTCAACTCCGCTTCTTTTCTTCTTTTCTTAACTCCAAGCATAACAACCTTTTTCTAGCAGATCAGCAGGGTGTCTCCTTAAAGCAGAGAACCAATCGCCTCATTTGGGGAGGGAGGTGCAGGTGGAGACCCCAGCTAGGACCAAAATCCCTCACAAGTTGATATCATGACCCATAACTTACCCTCGGTGCGTTTAGCAGCCTTGCCACTAGTAGATTAATGTGCAGACGCATCTGCTGAACGTCTAGGTATGATATATGACATACCTGTTGTGACGGTTAAGGAGATATAATTTTCTGCTCTCCTGTAGATGTCAGATAGGGGATGTAATATATTAGACAACTTGTATTAAAGTGACCAGTCTGAATATATGCCTGGTTTTTAGGTACGTCTCATAGTCCAAGAAATGAAATCATAGGGGAAAATGGATTTTTGAACATGATGTCTGCTTTATGGCTTATCTGGAATGTCTTGAAGCTCAGTGAGGGACTTGGTTTATGGCTTTATGATATCCCAGATTGAGAAGTTAACAGACATCTAGGCACCACCAGCTTGGTTGGGATTTTATAGCCCTGAAGCTCTCCCGCTGAGCCTTGACTGCCTGTGACCTCTGCCTCATCCAGACCACATGTCACTCAACAGAAGGGAGGGGGGATGAGGGAAGAGGGAGAGATACAAGATGGAGGGTTTGGAGTAAAATGGATGACCGCGTCCATCTCTGTGTGCACGATTGCTACACCTCGATTTACGAATTTTAAAAAAAAAAAAATGTTCACAATACGAAGTGTATGTCAGTGCTGATTTTTAAATGCAATTGCCGTCTTTTTTTTTTCTTCACTATAGCTCACAACATTAGCTGTCAGTTTCCCTGGACTGCTGAATTTCTGAACTACTGTATAGTGAAGAAAAAAAAAAAAAAACGGCAATTACATTTAACAACTGGCACCTGACAGCTGAGTGTAAAATATTTTTTTTTTAATTGCCAGCAATTCTTTTATATGCAGCTGTCAGTGGGGAACCCCGCTGACATTGCAACATTAACAAATGGTTGTCACTACTAAAATACCGTATGAGTTAATAAAATAACTCATGGAGTACTTTAGTAGAGTTTACTGTTTTTCTCACCTTCGGAATGGATTAATTGGTTTTCAATGCATTCCTATGGGAAAGTGTTTCGGTTTATGAATTTTTCACTATACAAAATGCCCTGCAGCACGAATTAAATTCATAAACCAAGGTACTGGTACATCACTGGACTTTGAATGGTTACACCAGGATGATGCCTACAGCTGCAGGCATCATCCTGGTATCGTTTTTTCAGCCAGCGATCGGCTTTCATGTAAAATCAATCCTAGTGGCTAATTAGCTGCAAGATTGCTTTTACAAGCAGCTGGAGACGATACCCCCCTCTCCCACTGCCTTCCATGGCCTTCATCGGGCAGTCCCGTACCATTGGGGCAGCCTGACAATGCAGCCGGTGTTTCTGCCAGCTGACCATAGAGCTGATTGGAGACCAGAATGGTGCCAATCATCTCTATAGCCTAAGAAATCAGAAGCTACGAGCATTTCATCACTTCATTTTCACAGGATATACAGCGCCATTTGTGAAAGCATCTGATCACACCGATCTTGGTTTGATTAGATAATGTAAGGGCAGAAGAGATATCTACAGTCTGATAGAAGCCAGATTTTCAAAAAAGAATATATGACAATGGCCATTGAAGTTATAGGAGATATTTGCATTCCCTGTAATAGCATTAAAAGTGATAAAAAAAAAATGAAGGGGACAGTGTAAAATTAATTTAAAAAATCAAAATAACTTAAAAAAAAAAGTACCCTCCCCCCCCCGCGCGTGCATCTGCGTTCGTCAGCGTTGACCCTGTGCCAGTACGGAAACAGCGGTTGCACCATGCATGTGAGATATCGCCACGAACGTCAGATCAAGGGCAGTAATTCTAACACTAGACCTCCTCTGTAAATCTAAAATTGTAGCTTGTAAAGGCTTTTAAAATGTTGCCTTTGGATATTAAAAACGAATGCAGGTTGTTGCCATTGCACGGGCATGCGCAGTTTTAAAGCATGTCATGTTTGGTATCTATTTACTCGGCATACCATCATCTTTTATATTTTACCAAATAATTGGCCAATATTTTGTGTTGTTGTGCATTAAAAGTAAAAAAGTGTATTTTTTTTTGCGTTTGAAAAATCGCTGCGTGAGTACTATGTGACATAAAAAATTGCAGCACCCACAATTTTATTCACTAGGGTGTTTGCTTTAAAAAAAATATATAATGTTTGGGGTTTAAATTAATTTCCTAGCAAAAAATACAGATTTTTTTCATGTGAACAAAAAGTGTCAGAAAAGGCTTGGTCTTCAGGTGGTGAATGATGTGGCATAATCTTCTAATGCTGGGCATAAAATGCCCACACCCCCCCCCCCAAAACAACCCCTTTTTGGAAAATAGACACCCCAAACTATTTGCTGAGAGGCATGTTGAATCAATAGAAGAGTTTTCGGAAAATGACAAACAAAACAATTTTTTTTTACACAAAATTGGCATTTAAATGATTTATTACCCACACATGCCACGGGCATATGTGGAAATACTCCCCAAAATACATTCTGCTACTTCTCCCGAGTATGGGGGTACCACATGTGAGAGACGTTTTGGCAGTCTAGCCAAGTACAGGACACCAAAATCCAATAAGCACCTTCAGGCTTTTAAAGGTCTTTATTTCCTCATTACACTTCCTGACTACCTATCACAGTTTCAGAGGCCCTGAAATGCCAGGATAGCACCAACCCCCCCCCCCCAAATGACCACTTTTTGGAAAGTAGACACCCCAAGGAATTTGATCAGAAGCATGGTGTGTATTTTGCAGATCTCGTTTGTTGCCAGAAGTTTTTGAAAATTGAAGAGAAAAACAAAAACATATTTTTTTTTTTTTTTATATTTCAAAATATAAAAATATAAACCTTGTAAGAAAAAATGAGATCTGCAAAATACTCACCATGCCTATTTTTAAATTTCTTGAGGTGTCTACTTTCCAAAAAGGGATAATTTGGGGGGGGGGGTGCTATCCTGGCATTTCAGGGCCTTCGAAACTCTGATAGTAGTGAGGAAGTGAAATAAGGAAGTTACGCATCTTCAGGCTTTCAAGGTGGTCATTGGATTTCATGCTCCCAAAAAGTCTCACACATGTGGTATCCTCATACTCAGTAGAAGTAGCAGAATGTATTTTGGGGTGTAATTCCACATATACCCATGGCTTGTGTGAGAAATAAATCATTTAAATGACAACTTTGTGTAAA